GCCTCAGGATTTAAGCAGATCCAGGCACAAGAAAAAAGATGATTTCATATCTCAACATCAGGAAAGGAAGAGCACGAGGAAGAGGCAGCTAGTGCGCTATGGCCACTGTAGCTACTTTCCAATACACAGATTAGGTTGCACGATCTGCTATGGGATATTTTGTATACGGTTTATGAATTTTGAGGGAGGTTAAGAGAATAAGGAAAGTCTTCATTTATCCAGGTGTATCAGCTCACCTTGGCAAAAGTAGGTGATTTTATGGAATGAGGTTTAAAAATTGGCTAAAAATGATGAATGCTACAGGTGGCATCTCACCTCCCCTCCTCCCAGCTTCAGGGAAAGGAAAGGAGGTCCGTGGATCCCCACACTGGCAATCAGACTCCTGCCCCTAAACTTCCTCGTTTTAGACCCGCTTCTCCCAATTTGTTTCAATCTCAACACATTGGAGAGTTTCTAATCTGTGGTAATGCACATCTGGACAGGGCAGGGGGATCAGAGCCTCTCTCATTGGTGACAATGTGGCAGGGGTGGTAGCTGGGAGGAGTGAGTCTATAGCAACTTTTGCAAAGAATTTGCATGACTATACTGAAGAGGAAGGAATCAGTATCTGGTCTGAGGGGGGACAGCGTGTCTCACGTGCACGGTGCACTTTTGTAATCATGATGCTGCAGACGGTGACTGCAGACCCTGCAGGCAGCTGTGGGTGAGAACAACAAAGAAAGCTCGCTGTGCTTCTCTTCCTGGCCCATGTGTTCTTTGTATGACTGTGTCTGACGTTCATGGTCATCGTGGAGCTAGAACATTTGGACCTCTCACCTGCCCTCCAGGTTGGTCAGCCTGTCCTTGGGTCCTAGTGGGTTCCAGCAAGACCAGGTTGCTTGAAACCCAGGTTCACAGAAACAGCCTCCTTCTCTCAATACTTTTAAAGTGACTTGTGGGTATTTGCTTCTGGCCCAGTTCTTTATTGGAGCTTTCATCTCAAGCATTTCTTAAGCAAACAATATCGTGAGTATGCTTATCAAATAGTTCTGGCTCGGAGTAGCTCTGAGTCGGAGAGGAGGGCATAATTACAGACAAGTAAAAAAAATACACTGTCCATGTATGTATGTTCATGTATAACTGAAAAATTGTGCTCTACACTGGAATTTGACACAACATTGTAAAATGATGATAACTCAATAAAAAAAGTTAAAAAAATAAAGTATTTAACTTAAAAAAAAGTAAAATGTATCGGAAATCTTAGAACACACCAAAAAAAAAAAATACACTGTCCAAAAAACAATGAGCCTCTCCGTGCTATTTTTGCAACTTCCTGTTATAGTTATTTCAAATAAATATAGTTATTTCAAAATAAAAAGTTTTTTTTTAAAGACATACAATACTATGGGAACAGGAGAGACTGCCAAAGTGTTGCTTCTGCAGAGTTGCACCAATTATGTCGCAGGGTCCCCACTGCTGACAAATAAGCAGGCTCATTTACTGGTGTTGAACATCTCTTTCCAGGCTCAGCAGGAGCTGATTAAGCAGCTCTCCATCCTTCCTCGAGACAACTACAACCTCATGAGCTACCTCTGCAGGTAAGAGTCCCCTGGTATCAGCGTCACAATTTTCAGCCACATCAGAAAAATGCTCCCTGTTAGAGGAGTGTCTTTGTGAACTCAGGAGATTCTGGTCCAGACCTTTGGAAGGTCAACACTGCTCACATAGCAATGAGGCAGTTTCCTGAGTCCATAGATAACTGAAAAGATCCCCTGAAAATCTGACTGGCACAAAAATTGAACATTCCACTCCCCCCCCCATCAAACCTGCCCCAGGGCTGCCCAGAGTCCTGGGACATGCAGTGGAACCCAGAATTCTTCTGATGTTTTTAGAATTATCTCCAGCTTACTGACTCTGGACCATAACTTAGCAGCCCAGGGACATTTGTTGCAGGACAATTTTCTCATGTCCCTTTCTGAGGACCTGCTTTGTGCTGTCTCTGTGGCAACATGTAGTCTGTGATTGACCCAGATCTGGCTGAAGCAGGAAGCCCGAATCTCCATGCTGGATATAGCTGAAATTTATCTTTTTTTTTAAAAACATAACTTTCTGTAGTTTCCAGATTTGGAAACCAGGAAAATGCAAAATACTGTACATAGATAAAAATTACCCCAAATTCTCTCACCCAGTAAAAATCACTACTAATGTTTGAGTGTGTTTCCCTCTGAATGTTTTTGTCTCTATGAGAGAGCTTTACATGCATCAATATAAATATAGGAAACAATTTTTACACCAAATTAGAAATGAAGTATATATTTGTATCTGCTTCCTTTGGCTAAATGCTACTTTATGAGCATTTTCTTATGTCATATAATAGGATTATAAATGACTCCGTAATATTCTGTAATATTTCCTCATTTGGACAACCCATCACTGATTTAATAATTTCTCTGTATTTGGAATTTTAAGTTGCTGCAGCCTACTTATCTAAAAATGGTTTTTGGAGAGAGTATTTAGAAATTCCTTTATTGATCTTTTTAGTTTTTTTTTTAAATTAGCATATATCTGAGAGTTTCATGCCTCAAGTGTGTGGAATTACAGCAAAAACTCATTGTTAGTTTTTGAGCACCTGCTGAAAATCTGAGATGCTTGGTGCTGTAATCGGAGGATGAGAGCAAGGAGGCACCGTGAATTCCCATTTCTGAGATCTTCTCATGATTAAATTTTCTTGTCTAGAGACTCCTCTGGGACAGGTGCTGAGCATTTGAGAGAGAAGCCTGTAAAGTCAGGACCGAGGGTAGTCAAACAACCATTTTAGTCCTTCTCATCTCCTCTTAGCTCCCAGAACTGGACCCTGTCTCCTGCCAGCGTGACTCTCCACCCCACCCCTGGCCCCAGTGCCACCACCAGGGGCTGGAATGCTTGTTTTTCTTCTTCCCCGATCTTGAATCTTTCAGGGCGGAGCTAAATTCTCGTAGTTTGAGCAGACTGATCCCACTCCTGAGACCAGGAGGAAAGAGTTGGGACCCACCTCTGAGATCTTGTTGGTCCCAGGAAGTGCTCCCTTCTGATAACTTCCTGTTTCCTACTGTGGGATTTCCTGGCTGTTCACAGGTTTCTGCATGAAATCCAGCTGAACTGTGGTGTTAACAAGATGAGTGTGGACAATCTGGCTACTGTGATCGGTGTGAATCTCATCAGGTCAAAGGTAGAAGACCCTGCTGTGATCATGAGAGGTAAGGCTGGTCCCGTGGTAAAGGCAGGTGCAGAGGAAATAACAAGAATGGCGTCACTACCAAATCGCTCTGTAATTGGCCAAGCATTTTCAGTTGATTAGCTCATGTGAGTTGTAAAAGAGCCCTGTGAAATAAGCGAGCAGGCATTGTGTCCATTCTCCAGGTCACAGCGGGACAGAGAGGTTAAAGATTTACCAATCGTCACACAGTGCAATAGGCTGGCACAAACACAGCTAATGTTTCTTAGTCTTTTATTGCTTTTTAATACCCTTAACCAGAGAGAGCAAACAAGTGTGGTTTTATGAGGCAGCTCATAAAAAGGCTACTTGTTAAGCTGTGCTAAAAAGGCTCCTGAGGCTGTGTCTTGGCTCAATGAACAAAAGTCCTGACACAGAGCACTGATGTCTGCCATGGTTTTGAGGAGGCAGGATGCCCAGCACACGTTTGCTCTGTGTGCAGTAAGAAATCAGATGTCATACCGAGGACACATCAGGAGAGAAAGATGTTTCATTTTCTTTCCTGTCATATTGCCTGTTTCCTGATCAAAGACCGATTCAGAGGACTGTAGGCTGAAAATAGCCCTCTTTCACCCCACTCCCATATCCTTCATCTATTCGATCCCTTTCATCATAATCTCCTACCCCAAGCAATTAAGAAGGGTCCTGTGAGGAGCAAAATAAGGTCTTTTGGAACCATGTAGCTTTAGAGTCAAGTTTAGAGACATTCCATGGGTAGAGACCCTTGAGGAATGCCTGCCCCCTGCTTCATGGTCCAACACTATAAATCTCTTCCTTCTTTCTTTTCAGGGACTCCTCAGATCCAAAGAGTGATGACCATGATGATCAGAGACCATGAAGTCCTCTTCCCCAAGTCTAAAGATGCACCCGTATCACCTCCTGCCCAAAAAAATGACCCCAAGAAACCTCCAGTGGCACGAAGTTCTGTGGGCTGGGATGCTACTGAGGACACTCCAATTTCTAGAACAGACAGCGTCAGTAACATGGTAAGGGGCAGAGAGCCTTCCTCCTTCCATTTGACTCCTCTCTAGTCCAGGTCATTCCATGGAAGAGCTTCTCTGGGGTGTCTTGAATGATGCTGTGGCCATGGCCACAGCCAGTACAGACCCATTGGAATGCATCTTGAAAGCCTGGCCTCTTTCAAAATCTACTTTCCATGGGCATCGTGGAGGTGGGGTTAGTGATGTGTGCCAGTCCCCCAGTGGCTAAGCAATGGGAGTCCTCCACTGAAGCCTACTCTGAAAGGGAAACCCTTTCAAACACAGTCCAGGGAAGTTCAATGAGGGAATTTTAGACCACAGTGTAAATGTTCTAGTGAGAGCTGTTGAAAATTCCGGGTGAACGCCCAGAAAGAACCGGTTTCCTGCTAAGCCATGGAACGTGATTCCTTTCTCAGAGTATGTGGTATGTTTGTGTAATATTTCTCATTCCCTGATAAGCCGTCTCAGCATTGTCAACCCCCTCATTTGTACTGAAGGGCTGGGTCTCACGTTCCCAATGTCCAAAAACTCTCCAGACTCTCAAATTTAGACTATTTAAGGGCAATCATTTGCAAAGCTCAAATATTTTTACATATTTGTAAAGACAAGTATTTTTTAAAAGGGTATGTGAACTTTATATAGCAGCTTGATTCTTTACATGTGACCAAGAAATGAATTTAAAATTTCTGGTTGGCCAGGTAATGTCAGTTGCCTACAGTACTGTTCATCCTGAGGACAATTAAGAAAATATTGGGAAAAAAAGTAGGTAGTGGTGACGATTCTGATTTTTCTGGAGTGATGCCTATCTGGACACAATGCATTTTACTAATACTCTAAAATTAAATCAACATTTAGAAATGCTCATACTTCATATAATGAAATCATCCTACCGTTTTTTAAAAATTGAAGTATAGTCGGTTTACAATGTTGTGTTGGTTTCTGGTGTACAGCATAGTGATTCAGTTATACATATATAAATATCCTTTTCCATATTCTTTTTCATTATAAGTTATTATAAGGTATTGAATATAGTTCCTTGTGCTATACAGTAAGACTTGCTACTTAGCTGTTTTATATGTAGTAGTATCTGCAAATCCCAAACTCCTGATTTATCCCTCCCTCTTCTTCCCTTATAGTAACCACAAGTTTGTCTTCTATGTCTGTGAGTCTGTTACTGTTTCGTAAATAAGTTAATTTGTGTCATGTTTTTAGATTTCACATATAAGTGATATATGATATTTGTCTTTCTCTGTCTGACTTACTTCACTTAGTTTGATAATCTCTAGGTCTATCCATGTTGCTGCAAATGGCATTATTTCATTTTTATGGCTGAGTAGTATTCCATTGTATAAATATACCACATCTTTATCCAGTCATCTGTTGATGGACATTTAGGTTGCTTCCATGTCTCGGCTATTGTAAATTGTTCTGCTGTGAACACTGGGGTGCATGTATCTTTTCATGTTAGAGTTTTCTCCCATCCTAACTGTTCTTGAGAGTAGCCATTGTTATGCTTATTTGACAGGTTTCTGCTATTTATTGTAACAGTATGGGCAGCAATGGGCAGGCACTGTGCTGGGGAACTTAAATAGATCACGTCTGGAGTCCTCACCATAACTGTAGGACAGAATTTAATTTATCATCCACATTTTACAGCTGAGGAGCTGTAGCCCAGATGGCCCAAGATGACAGCACTAGAGCAGTGGAGAGTGGGACTTAGACTTAGTTCTCACCTCAGGGCTTAGGTCCTTCTGACTCCAGGTGTGGTTGCTGAAGCAGGTGAGTAGCTAGAAGCATTAGACGGACTGTTTGAGCCCTGATTTCCTGATTTTATACTTAGGGCTCAATCTTTTTCTTTCTCTTTTTATTTTAATCTAAAAATATTTAATACACACACACACACACACACACACACACTCACTGAAACACACACTACTCTGTATCTTGAATTTTTCTATGTAGCAGTATACCCTGGAGAAATTTTCATGTCAGTACGTAGACAGCTACATCATAGGACTTCATGTTTTGGGAGGTGTGTACGGTGTTGCATTCTGTGCATGTACCATCATCTACTCAGCCAGCCCCTATGGATGAAAAGGTGGTTTTCCTTCCTTTGTACTACAAACAAGGATGCAGTGAATAACTCGACTGTGCTTCATTTTGTGCTCAGGCAGATATATGTCTGGGATAAATTCCCAGAAGTGGGATTGCTGAGTCAGAGGGACTGTAATCTGTAATTTTGATTAAAATTGTTAAATAGAAGCTGTGCCATTTTGTCCTTCCACCAGCAATGCATGAAATAACCTGTTTCCCTACAGTTTTGCACACACAGTGTGTTGTCAGATTTTGGGGGGTTGCCCATCTGATAGATGAGAACGGTTATTTCAGTAATTTTAATTTGAGTCTTTCCTGTTACAAGAGAGTGCACACATTTTTCCTTGGCTGTAAGGGCCAGTTGCATTTTTCCTCCGTCAACTATCTGATCTTGTTCTTTGCCCATATTTGTATTGGTTCTTGGACTTCTTCTTCTCAATTTTCATGAACTTCATAGACTAGGGAGAGAAGCCTGTTGTCTGTGATACACATTGGCAAATAGTTCTGTCAGTTTGTCATTTCTTGTGTGATTTAGCATGCAGTAATTTCTTTGTTTTATTTTTAACTTGGGGGAGGGAGTCATGGAAACCCGTGTGGGTTGAATTTATCAAACTTTGCTTTTATGGCTTCTGGATTTTGGTCATAGGAAAACATCTCCATTCTAAGGCTATAAGAGGATCCCAGGTTAGGGCTCCTTAACACAAGCAAACAATTTATTTTAGTCACTACTTCTTTAGAGCAAGAGTTCCTTCAAGTACAATATCCTTTTTTAAAAAATGCCATGCAGATAATCAAGTAATATGACAAATTAAGAGATGGTCTTCTGCTAAGTTATAGGTTGCTACAAGATATTGAATATAGTATAAAAAGGAATGTCTGTTGTATATGCATGACTGAGAAATTATCCTGTACACCAGAAATTGACACAACATTGTAAACTAAGTATACTTCAATTAAAAAAAAAAAAGAGCGAGATGGTCTTATAGAGTTTCATAGGTGTGCAGCCAGGAGACACTTCTTTCATGTCTCTCATCCTTATCTTGGGAACGTGACACATGTGGGAAAAACTCATGTAACATGATGGCCATTTTTCTCTAGGCGAGCGACTCAGAGACAACCAGCCCCACTGGACAACAGCCAGGTGATGGGTGTCTGGGAGACAGCAGCAAAGCATCCAGGGAAAAGCCAGGAGACTGGAAGACACAATCCCGGAAAAGGACTCAGACACTCCCTAACCGGAAATGCTTCTTGACATCAGCTTTTCAAGGTGCCAATAGCTGCAAAGCGGAGATCTTTAAAAATGAGTTCTGGTCCCCTTCTTCGGAGGGGGCGGCAGGGGAAGGGCACAGGAGAACAATGTCTCAAGGTGTGCCGCAGTGTTTTGACTCCCAGAGGACTTCCACCTACGATAATGTCCCCACCCAGCCCCGGTCCCCTGGGGACGCAGAACGTGCACCCTTGTCTCCGGCTGATGACTCCAAGAGAGATGCTCTTGCCAGCCCAAACTCTGAAACCGGGCCTGGGAAAAAGAACTCTGGAGAAGAGGAACTTGAATCTTTGCAGAGGATGGTCCAGGAGCTGCAGAAGAAAATAGAAATGCAGAAGCAAATGTATGAGGAACAGATTGAAAAGTAAGTCACAGACAGAGGAGCCTGGGCCACCACTCAGCTTCCATCTTAAAAGCAGTAAGGATTGTTCTGCTTTGCCAAAGAAGTGGCATTCTGAAGCTCCAATTTATGGAAGACAGTATCTATAGCATTTGGGCCTAATAAGGAACAGCGTAAAAGAGTGAGGCGATGACTAAATTAGTAAAAACTCTAGGCTTTAGATTAAATTCATGAAAAGTTAAGGATGCAGCTTAAGTAGCTTAATCAGCTCTTTCCAAATAGTGGCTCTTTAAGCATCAACCTGCCTAAATGAATTAAGAGGAACTTTAAAACTTTTTTTGATATTAATGTCATTCATCAATTATGCAAATATTTACTGAGCACCTACTGTGCGCCAGGCACCATTCCATCCCAGCTGTTGCAGAACAGCACTGAACAAAACAGACAAAAGTCCCTTTGCTTACAGAGCATTCCTTCTAGCGGGGGTAGGCAGATCGTACGAATGGGGTAATTAAAATCTGTGCTATGACGGATGGTGGGAAATGCTATGGAAAGCCATAAAACAGGGCAGGAGGTTAGGGGGCTCACGAAGGGGGTTCCAATGTTAAATAGGGCGGCTGAGGAGGGCTGCACTGAGAGGGGCCTGAAGGAGAGGAGGGAACAAGGGAGGTCCACACGGGGGTTGGGGGTGGGGATGGGGATGGAGGAGCAGGCCAGGAAGAGGGAACCAAAGCGCAGAGGCCACGGAAAGAGACCTGGTCCTGTGTGTTGATGCAGAGAAAGGGCGGTGGTGGGCGGACCCGGGGAGGAGCTGCTGGGGGAGGGCGGAGAATGCGGGAGGCCCGAGCACGGAGGGAGGGGCCGGTGAGCCACCTGAAGGCCCGAGTGAGGCATCGCTTCTGGGCCCCCCACCTGCCTGATGCTTCATCAGATCACATCATTGACGTCCCTCAAACTCAGGTTGCTGGGGACAAACAAGACGCAGGGGCCGGTGACTCAGCTGTTGCCACAATTTCAGACAAACCCCTAAGATGCTCTTGACGCAATTTGCTCGTTTGAGTAGATCAATTTCCTTGAAATCTTTTCCACACCACTCATCTTCCATTGAGAGGAAACCTCAATCCAGATTTGCCTATGTTCACGCTATTCGAAAGGCAGTGAAATGTGAACCCAATGGGATTTTCAAATTACGGGGACTGTTCGGTCCGTGGAGACTCAGGTACATGGAAGTGTTGCTGATAGATGCAACCGGTGTTTCAGGTTCTTGTCCTGTGCCAGAAAGAACTCAGAGACAAGACGTAGTGGTTAAAAAAAGTAAAGTGAGGACTTTAAAAGGATGGACAGGACACTCTCAGGGGAGAGCGGGCAGGCTCAGGTGAGCGGCTGCTCTGAGTTTCTTCGGCAAGTGAGTTACATAGGGTGTAAAAATGAATGGGTGGAATATTCATTGGGGAGGGAAGGGTTTGGGGCTGTATTCCCTGATTATCATCCCAACCCCACCTTCCCAAAGGGAGGAGGGATTTTTGTCCTTATTTAGTCTGGATCGGAAGTGTCATGGTGTCAGTGCATGATGGATACTTCTGATCTGCAAGGCTGAGTTTATTGAAATGAGGGCATAATGAGCAAAAGGTTACATTCGGACACTGGAAATTCCTGCCTTTTCTTACCTTTCTTTGTTCTTCTCCAGGCCACTTGTCATTCCCAAAAGCATGATCCCTTATCCACCCTTGCTTTTCTTTCTCTGCCCAGGAACCCCTGCTGCTCACATGATGTGTGGTTTCCTGCATTTGGCCTGTGCCCCTCCTTTCTGCACAATGCCTGCCATTTGGTCTGTGTCCCCCTTTCTCTGCTCGTATCTAGCTATCTGCCTGCTCTAACAGAAGGAAGACTTTGATGAGTCCTGATACTTTGTTCCCTGCAGAAGGTGGCCATCTAGAAGCCACACGTAGCTCCTTTGTCTAAGAACCTGAGATCAATGGTTTGTAGTCTCCGAGACGTGGGTGATGTCTTGGCGGTGACCACAGCAGCTTGAGAAGACTCCCAGTTTCTAACTTGGGTGTCATTGACAGAGCGGGGGCCCATGAGGGTGCCCTCTCCTGCTGAAGGGTACAGAGTCTCTTGAATCCACCATCGGGGGCATCCCATCCTCAGGAGAGTGGGGAGAATGAACAGTCTGCCATGCCTGCTCTAAGCTTCATGTTTCAGGCACACCTTCTCATATAATCCCCTCAATAATCCTGTAGAACAGGGAATGCCCCCACTTTACAGAAGAAATAAGGGCTTGAGAAATATAAAAAGGTTCCTGAAGGTTGCACAACTGTTCACCGGCGGGGCTGGGATTTGAACCTCGGCCGGCCAGCCTCCCAGGCCCACCCAGATTCAACCTCTCCACTTAAGGCCACAGACAAGGTCTAGCACAGTGTCTCTTTGGAGATTTCCTCCAAAGCAAGAGGGATAGGGGGATCTCAGAGGAGAAAATTAGATTTGTAATGGGTGGGCCAGAAGGATTGCGACTAATTTGGCTTGAAGAAGAAACAGTGCAGGGAACTATATTCAATACCTTGGAATAGCCTATAATGAAAAAGAATGTATATATAAAACTGAATCACTATGCTGTACACCAGAAATTAACACAACATTGTAAACTGATTATACTTCAATAAAAAAATTTAAAGAAAAGAAGAACCAGGCTAGGGTAGGTGAGGCTTTAGGGAGAGGTCGTTATATGCAGAATGGGCCAAGGCCGTTGAAGACAGAAGGCAGGGCTGGGCTCCCAGTGAAAATCCTGGGAATTCAGGAACCCAACAGATCCTTCACTGGGAGCGGGATTCAGAAGTGAGGATGAGACAGGCAGGACCATTGCTCCCAGCGGGCAGTTCCCTGTCCTCTAAATCTTGATCCCCAAGAGCCTGAAGGAGAGACGACGTCAGTCTGTGCTCCCCATTGAAGCAGGATGAGAAGGCACTCGTGAGTGCTCAGGTGCTGGGAATCTGGACTCTGGATGGGGTTCAGCAGGCCCTCAGTTCCCACTGAGCAGGACAGGTGCAAGGGCCGTGGGGCTGCAAATAGCAGGGGCGGGCTCTTCATTCAAAGACTTTGTTGTGGTGGAGTCTACAAAACAGAAAATGACCTGAAAAACAGCACAAGAGATGTCATGAGACGGGCGTTCCATGACAAAAGGGGTTCAGACAGGCTCTGGGACTTCAGGTTTAGCGGGCAGACCTCCTGGGCGTATAACCAAGAGATACGGGCTGGCGATGGGTCTTGTGATGTGGAAAGTGAAACGGACAAAGGAGGTTGTGGGCCAGGCCCGAGGGAGAGTCTAGCGGTTACGCCCTGTCCTCTCATTCTTTCCTTTCCTTCCTGTAGCCTCGAGAAGGAGAACTATGACGTCTGGGCCAAGGTGGTGAGGCTCAGTGAAGAACTGGAGACAGAGAAGAAGAAGTCGGCAGCCCTGGAAATCAGCCTCCGCAATGTGGAGCGCTCCCTGGAGGACGTGGAGAGGCGGAACAAGGCCTTGGAAGAAGAAGTCAAGGAGTTTGTCAAATCGATGAAGGAGCCCAAGGCAGACGCTTGAGGGTCCCAGCAGCACCACAGAGACAGCCCGCAGGGACCCAGCACGGCGCCCTTTCTTGGTGCCCGCTGATGACCAGGAGACATAATTGCTCCCCAGGAGGGAGAGGACGTTTGTGGGGAGAGCATCCCATTTCCCAGTGAATGAACCAGTGGAGTTTGTAGGAAGATGAGGGTGAGCAGGGACTCATGTGGACACCTCTGAGCCCCTGAGGCTGTATTTCAAAGGCTTGCATGATGGTGGTCTCAGGCCAAGTGGAAGGGACCTCCCAGGGCTGGATAGCTGTGTCCAATGGAGACTTTGAAGCAGGCCACATCCCAGGGCCCAGGCCACAGACTGCCCCCAACAGAGGCTGGATGGAGGCGTTAGTTCTTTGTTTCCTGTGTGGAACAACTCACCTAGAAAGATGGCCTCTGAGACACAGGGGCAACAAATGATATTCAGCTTTCGAGTGGGGTGCAGGGGTGGGCCGTGTTTTGAGGGGCTGCACCTGCTGAAGTCAGGACCCCATTCTGCGACCCCCACTGTGATGCACACTCTCCAGGCTTGGAGACTCAGAACTAGTATCACACAAAGACAAAACAAGCAATAAACTGTATTTATG